AGAAAGTGATTCCGATTAAAGATGGAGCTATAACTGGTTTTAGTTCTGGTGTCCTCTTGTCGATTTTTATGATTTAACAAGAAAATCAACAGTATAACAACCAGATTTATGTAACGGATATCTAATGTAGCATTTATAGGCCTGATACTGATCACGGATATCTGATACTGATAGTGGATAAAGTAGTTGAGGTGATGTGTGTGTAATGCTAAACTGCAGGCTATAAGCTTCAATTTCCTAGCTTCATAGCTCCACCACGGCAAACTAAAGGAAATTCTTGGTTTGAATTCTGCCTCATTTGTAAGTCAATTTGGATAAATTGTTACCATTATTATTATTATTATTATTATTATTATTATTATTATTATTATCATTGCTATAATTGGACAATGGCTACTCATAAGTGTCAGGTTTTAGGTTTGACTGTAGTGCAGAATACCGGACGTATGCCAAACTGGGGCAAACGTACAGGCTAAACAGGGGCTTTTCTTTCTTATAGCTTCACTGCAGATCAAAGAAGCTAATGTCAGACACCAAACATACCGGATGGAGAAAGTGTCTAAATTAAGAATTTTTGGTGGGACCAGTCAGCCTCACGTCTTTCAAAGCTCAGGTCAAACACAGCTCTTCCCCTAACACAACAGAGAAACCTCACTAAGCTACCGGTATGTGTTATATTTTTTTGTAACAAATTCTTGACATAAAAGGGAGCTGTATGTATAAAATGTAACAGGACAGAAGCTAACAAGGATTCATAATTTTCATTTGCTGGCTTTTCAGACAGACAATGGGAGGAAGGAGAAAGGCAGGGAGAGAGGGAGACATAAAAAATATCAAGACAGGGAGAGACAGTGGGAGAGAGAAAGAGAGGGAGAGGGAGAAGAAGAGAGACAGAGAGCTAGAGGGAGACAGAGAAGCGGGGATAGAGATAGAGTGACAGAGAGAGAGAGAGAGAGAGAGAGAGAGAGAGAGAGAGAGAAGCGGGGAGAGAGACAGAGACAAGGAGGCATAGAGAGAGACTGGGATAGAGAAAGACAAAAAGATGGGACATAAAGAGAATCTGGAACAAACAAAGTGGCAGGGAGAGCGAGAGATATAGAGGGAGACCGGGTGAGATAGAAAGACTGGGAGAAGTGGAGAGAGAGAGAGAGAGAGAGAGAGAGAGAGAGAGAGAGAGAGAGAGAGAGAGAGACAGAGTGATGAAACTGTGTGAAATGTCCATGGTTTGTCCAGTAAACCCAGCTCACGTGTTCTAGACAACACTTTGTGCATTCAAATAAATTTCTCAAACAGCTAAACGGATAATTTAAGAGTCTTTTACTAACAGGGCGTATTGAGGCGTATACCTTCGTAAGAGCCGATCTCCAGAAGCGTCCCGCTCTGCTCGAGCTTCAGGAAGTCCTCCACCGAGAGGAAGTTATAATCGACTCCGGGGACCTCTCCGTCACGAGGAAGGCGGGTCGTACCTGTGTCAATCAAAAACACAGACAGGTCAAAGTTCCCTCCTTGCTCTGTTTTTCTAATCATATAACCTGCAGAAGGGATAAAAATCACACAAGTAAAGATGTTATAGATTAGATTACAATTAACGGAGATGAACATTATATTGCCAGATATACCCCTATACTGTAAATGGAAATCATACTAGTAATATCCACGAATCACATTAGTTGGTGTTTCCATCTTTAGGTTATTTCTGGTCGTCATGGTTTCAGTGGTAGCACCAGGGTAATGTGATACAGCTACGCAAACACCACAGCTAGTGACAGAACATGTACAAAACCACCGACGTCAAATGAATTTGCGGCTAATGCAAAACTGTTCATTCTAACAGCGAAACAAATGTGGTCATGCGAAAAACACACAATTCACAATTACTGCTGTCTGTTCAACAACTTTTAAAGGCGTTTGTACGCAAACAGAGCAGCGAAAACACGCAGTTCTTCAAACAGCACGCGAAGCATCACTGACTCGTTCAGAGACTGGGAGTGGGAACGAAAATGTGGTACCAAAAAACACAGATTTCAGTGTGAGGAGAAAAAAAAAAAGACCTGTAGCATCGTCTCTCCCACTGGCGTGAAAATCAGCTGCTCTCCATGAAATATTCAGCAATAACCATCAAACACGCCGATAAAATCTGAATTTGAAATTGAAATATTGGCTAAAAATAAAAACACAATTCTGATAATAACTTCCCAGGGGAATCACATATAAGGTGAAAGGTGGAGACTTTGCATTCATGCGTCCTTCGTTGAAAATGTGGACTTATTTTCTCTTCCTGAAATTAGTGTGTTTTTATTACTGCAGATAAGCTGTAGGTGAGGAGGCAAATATCACCTCTGACTCTCTGTATCAGGATAATTTGGCTTGCAAACATAAATAAATAAATAAATAAATGTAAGTAGTAGTAGCATAATTTAAATAATGGTTTATTTACTTCTTTCCTTTTTTTTTTTTTTTTTTTTTTTTTTTTTTTTTTTTTTTTTTTTTTTTAACAGGAATGAGGAAAAATAAAACTGCAAAATGAAAATTTCTACAAAATGCACACTGCTTCTTACTGTTATAATAATAATAATAAAAACAATATTTAAATAAAAAAATTGTTTTATTTCAATTACTTTTTTTAGTTTTGCTTTTTAAAAACAAGAGTAGTGAAAAAATGATTTTTTTTGTTCAAAATAGTTATTACTGTTATAAAAGAGTTGCTACATGTTATAAAAATACAAAAGATACATGCAATACTCTGAGAAAAGTGCAATCTGGATAGATTTAGCGTGATATTGGTTTAATTCTCAGCTCTATTTTAAACACGGGACACAGCTTGTAAATTCGACAGCAGTGTTTGCAGTAGGGGTGTAATATATATAGCAAATTATGGAGATTATATATTTATATGAGTTGAGCTCATGGTTAAAACTAAGCCTGCGTAATCTGGACCAAAATACTTTCCGTGTTGGAGCGTGTAAGTCCTGTGATTCATCCGAAAACCCTCCAAACACAGAAAACTCTCATTTGCAGCATCTGATTTTGTCCACGATGATCCCAGTGCAGAAAAATAACCCCACTCAGTGACTTGTTAGAGTCTCATTTCCATTTTTACAGCCTGACAGATGAGTAATGCAAAAGGCCAACATCGCAATAATGATTCACAAGCGGCACATCGTGCAGCACCAGGCTGCTGTTTTGAACCCTAATCATCCACTACCATTCGGGTTTTATCCGTTTCAGGTGAGAATCGGCGGCACGTTCCCGGATTAGAGTCCGCTGAGGGTGTGAATAAAGAGAACATCAGTTATTCATGAGGAACCGTGAATAGAACCAGACTGCAGAAGCTGTGAAGCCACATGACAGAGCAGAGTTAGGCCTCGCTGAGCTCTGTGTGTGTGCGTGTGTGTGTGTGTGTGTGTGTGTGTGTGTGTGTCTGTCTCTGGGGCACTAAATGCCCAAAATACACAGGTATGAAGATGAAAGCAGGCATTGTGTAGCTCTGAGTCAGCCAGATGTCCTCTCGTAATTCAATTCCATTCAATGTAAGAAAGTTTTATCTACGAGCATGACTCGTGTATATAAAATATATATATATCAAAAATGCATGAATGAACAAGACTGGAACTGCTCTCACATGTTGTTTTTACTCCTTATTTCTTCCTGCTATTTTTTCCCTTCGTATTCCTCTCTTTTTTTGGTATTATTATTATTATTATTATTATTATTATTAACTAAATCCTCAACTCCTGAGTGATATGTTTAGATTCTGTCTCTCTTGTCAATTGCTGTACAAAAGTTTCCGCCAAATCAATACACGTAGCCAGAATGTAAAGCTCATCACTGTCACCATCACAGCTTATACACACAGAGCATAGTAGTCTATACACAACACACAACACACGTAGGCTGCTCACAATAATAAACATTTCCTCACCAGGCTCATGCATTTATTCATAATGGAATTAATCCGGCATCATCACACACACTATAAAAATTAAAGTGGGTCAACACTTGAGCTAAACCCGGCTGCGAGTCTGCAGCGTTCCTGGCTTCCTGCTCTCGTCTCGGATAAGAACCCGGCTCTTCATCACGGACGTGCTCTCAGCCAGGTGATAAATCAACTCGGATAACTCAGAATAGATCATTTCCATGTTTCCCGAATACCTCCGCAACAAAGAGCAGGTCAGATAACTGCTGAAACGTCTGTGCTAATGAATAAACACTACTCTATTCTGTTCTACCTTAGCTTTGGGTTCAGAATCCACACACGTGCTCGTTTTGGATCAGTCCAATGCGCTGCGAGGACGTAAGATCATTACTGCAGCTCTGAAGCTCATATCCTGGCCTTTTGCTCTTCAGGAAGTCATAACATTCAGTTTAATGTGTCTCACAGCACAAACAAAAATGATATACAGATAAGCCGGCCATTTCTCTCTTCATTACACACGTCCACCAGATACCAATTCTGCAATCCACGTGCTTCAGCTCAAGGAATCAAAGTCATATTTGTACGGCTAGTCTCTTATAAAGAAGATTTACGTGAATTCTTTCTGTGTGCTTAATGATGAGAAATGACGTGTAAGACAGGTCAACTGTCTTATCTGCGGCTTGATGCAAAGCGGAGTTACTTTCACAGCACCGAGTTCATTTCCCTAAACAGCATGCCCTGAAGTGTTTTATTACTCTTATACCACAGCAAATAACCAACGTTTACAACATGCTGCTCATTAACACATGGCACATCATACTTTTTATCTGTTTATAGTTACGCTGATATTGTGGAACAGCCAGGAAACAAGTTAGTTCCTGTTATCACAAAATTGTAGCTTGCTATTTTATCAGGAAACCAAAAAGCATGAAGACTTAATATTTTTATTATTAGGCTTTGAGTGTTCACCATACAAGTTCCTGTGAATTAGCTGTTACTATAGAGCCGATAATGTACCAGTCACATCTATTTCTTCTACGCCTTTTAATTTATAGATCTTACTCAAGAGACCCAGAAGGTTGGGTCCCTGGAGGACTAGTTGATAGGCCACGGCGCTCTCACCGCCGTGGCCCGGGTTCGATTCCCGGCCAGGGAACCAATCCCAGCCACGATGCACACGATGGGGTTGCCGGTCCCAAGTCCAGATAAAACTGGGGAAGGTTGCATCAGGAAAGGCATCTGGCATGAAAACTGTGCCAAATTTGTGGACCAACGATCCGCTGTGGTGACCCCTAAAGGGAGTAGCTGAAAAAAAGAACAACAACCCCCCAAGAGACCCAGAAGGTTCACTCATACACTCATATCACGTGTAGTATTTGTGGTGTCTCTCTGGAGCTTTATGAGTACAAACTCCAACAATGCAATGCAATAAGCTGGAGCAGCTGTTATGGCCTCTGGTAATCACACCACACACAGCACTGGCGTGTGAACTTCAGCGGAGCCAAAACTCAACATCACTGCTAGGAAAACCTTTCCTCAGGGGACAGTCCAAACCCTCTGTGTGTGTGTGTCCATCCATGTGCCATATCCAAATGCCATATCAACTCAATTGTGGAATCTGGCAAGCAAAGAAACCCAAGAAAGAGCACAAAGATTTATAACTGTTGCTCTAATAAAGGTGATCCAAACTTAATAAACCAGCAGCACATGCATCCAGGACCTGCACCTGCTGAGAGTCAGAGTCTGGGCACTTGGACAGAGAAAACTGCCACACACACACACACACACACACACACACACACACACACACACACACACAAAATGCTTTATCAAATCCCATTTTCCAGACTATAATAAAGTCACAGTTCTGGACTAAGTAGTATGCAGAGTGTGTGCAGGGTTCATTAACCCCACCTACTCTTTATCAGCTTTTAAACAATTGAAAGATTATACACAAATATCTGTGTGTGTGTGTGTGTGTGTGTATATACCCTCCCAACTTGTGACCTGATTGGTCAGAAGGTCAAAAAGCACTTAATGTTTAGGAGTTTAGGACTCCCATTTTGCCACCTCCTCAATATGGACACACACACACACACACACAGCATGCTGCTAGTCTCATTGTATCTGCTGTGGAGTTTTCTCTTCATCCATGGAACAAAGATGTCACTTTGTGTAAAAGAGCTGTGTAGAGTCTTAGTGAATCAGTGCCAGCAGCCGAGGCTCCAAACAATCATCCAAACTTAAACACTGCTACACCAAAACCCTACACACACACACACACACACACACACACACACACACACACACACACAGATCCTTCATCTGTCTGTGTGATCATATCTGTCTTTCTGCCCCAGCCTGGCTGGGATATTGTCTCAGTCCTCCGACTGATTTGGGATCAGTGATTTATGCTATTTGGTTTGTTTCTTATCAGTCCTAATTAGGAGACGACTGAGGGACTGAATTACTCTGTAATTTATTTGCCCTCCATCTCTTGTATTCTCTCCAACATTATCTCTCGCTCACTTACGCCAGAGCTGGATGTGTGGCAGCCATCAATTCTACGATATGATGCAAAAAACACTGATTAACCATTACAACGGTTAAAATACTGGAGGAAGTGTAAGGATATGAAGAAAAGAATGGAAGAAGTGCTCCAACAGTTAAAACGAGTCACAAATGAGATGCTGAACAACACTTCTTTTCTTTAATGCTGTTGAATGGGCTCAGGCAAGGTTAGGCGAGGTTAGCTTCTGTCCTGCTGTCTATTCGGTCTCAAACGTCAGCTGTGTTATAAGGCAGCACTTTAGTAACTACGAAGGTATTGGTAAGAAAACGGTTTGAAACAGGCTTGCCAGGTTACAGACATATTCTCACAATCACTAACTTTAAAGTCTGTTAGGCAAGATGAAATTAAGCATTGATGGGGAGCTAATCTCTGATTACACCAGCCATTTATAGCTAGAAATAAAATCTTAAGGCACAAATAACTTAGCTGTGCACAAACTGCACCCTTTCTCCCAGACGTTTTCCTGCGCTATTTGTCACAGGCTGTTGATGCACTGGATTACGGCATATGTAGGACAGGATACAAGCTGCCTTTAAAAAATTCTCCACATAAAAAAGTCAGATATTAGGCTTTTAAGAAATTAGGCTTTGGCTAACTTTCAGTAGTGTCCTGATATAAGAAAATAATGGACAAGGGAAAGGCAAATAAATTTATTATCATTAAATTTTAATACACTGCATCTTTGCCCTAATAACTCTCAAATGATGAATTGATTACTTACACATGTCCACCAGCAGCCAAAAAGCTTTCAGCAGACAGTTGACAGGATTAGAACGGAGCTATCCCCGTGAAACTTGAATACTATGTTCATCTCTGGTCTCTTTTGTGTTCTAACTTGGCACAAACTGGCTACTGGGAGAACTGCTATGTGTGAACAGTGTTTGGACCCTGCAAATCATAGCTTGTAGCAATATTTTCTATGATAGTCATCTTTGCAAACCCAGATGAATCATTATTAGAGTCACGTATTTTTTTTTTTTTTTTTTTTGAGACAAAGACTATGTGGACTAGGTTTTTCCAGATACTTTAAGCCTCTTGTTTTAGCCTCAGGGTTCTTAAAATGTCACAAACACACAGACATTCAGATATTATTATATTCATCAAACCAAAGATTTGACAGCTCCACTCTTAAGCTGCAGTCTAGCTCATGTAGACCTGCTTTCTCTGGTTAGCGATGTCAGTTGCACCCGCAAGAGCTATAATTAAGTTTTTAGCAGTTGGGTGGGTCGTGGGTCGTAGCTGGTAGCTGGTCGTGGGAGCAGAGTTGTAAAAAGTTGGAAAAGGTTGCAAAACCAGTCATTATTTTTCTTGTACATGCATTCTTCTAATATGAAGCAACATAAAATATAATACATTCTAAACGCTGACGCAATAATAAAGAGCACACAAGCACGAATCATAAAATCTCAAGCTAAGCTTATAGGAATTAAAATAGACCTGAATGAGACAGGATAATCAGAGCAAAATATAAAACAGAAGACAATGATGAAGCAGTAAAACTGAACCTGCTGAGTTCATTACCAGCAGTTCCGAGCGTCCTATTTATGGAGTTTTAAGTAACTCTGTGCATGTCGCAAATAAACACAGTAATTCACTCTGAAGTATACATGCGTTTTCACGAAACAATGAGAAAAAGGCACTGCCCACGTAACACAAATTATCACAGCAGTCACAACTCAGACCTGAGCATTTTTAGCAAAATAACAACCATGTTTGTCACCTAGTGGGATTTCTAGAAACAAGTAGGTTGGCATCAGCGTTGCATACTAGAAAAGGCAGCCATTAAAGCAAACACAACAGCAAACATTGACCTTCACAGTAGAACAGTGGTTCTCAGCCCAGTCCTCACTAATTAGTCCCTAACTAATATAAAACATGTATTCAAGTTTTTTTTTTTTAAAGTTTGATTTAAGAACCAAAGAGCTGAACTAATTGAACTGTGCCGTCTTTTAGCACAATCCATTAAACAAAGTGATATGATAAAGTTATTATTAGTCAGAACTGTCCACACACTGATCAAATCCATCACACCCTGTGCCTATTTCCCACTTCTGTAAATGTAGGCGTTCTCTGGAGATTGTGGGGTGCAGACTAGTAACAGACACACTCTGTTATGTGACCATCTAATTTTGGTAAAACTACTAAATTTATGAGGTTCTACGTTATAGGGCTCCTACTGAGCATGAGACATGAGTTTGGTCACCTGCAGAAATGGTCAAAGCAAAGTCGTAAATGTTGAGTGCAAACTGTGCCTTGATGATAACAGCAGACAGCATACACACAAGAAGCAGCTTATATTGTGGTCTCGCAGACATACTACACAACGTAGTCGATACAATGACTCTCTGTAGTGAGCATGTATAGAGAACAGGAAGCCATTCCCTATACATTGAGCTTGCCGCAAAGATGGCAGATCTTACATTGGTCACAGTTACTGTAAGAACTGCAAACCTTGCTAAATATCAGTAACAAGAAAATAAATCTGAAACCTTGCATTGCTGGATACAACTGTGAAACTGGCCTTCAAGCTTCAAGAAAAAAGACAAAAATAAAGAGACTCTGGCTGACAATACATTATTATTCAAGACGAACGATGCTGCTTGGTAAAAAACTCAGTAGAAAATTTCAGCTATCTAGGGGAAAAATACATCATTGTCATCATTGTACATACAAATGATTTTATGACGATTACATTCGACCTATCAAAGATTTGCACTATTCCTAGCTTAGGCCATATGTCTTACTTAGAAATGAAAGCAATAACTAAATGTAGCATTACAGATTTGTTAACGTACCACCGTGTCCAGCAGAAAAGTGCTATTTAAGAGCTGGGCAACATGGGAGACATTAGAGTTGGATTTTTTGAGAAATGTAGAAATGTAGCCCCACAAAGATTGTGAAAATGCTACTAAGGAATGCTGAGGAAGTGCATCCAATCATCAGCGCTCCATTTGATTTGACTGATTGATTTACTGTAACTGCAGCAGCTGTTTGGACAAAGTAAAGATCCATGAAATTATCATTGCTCAAAATATGCAAGAGCAAAAGTTAGAGCAAGAGTCTGTGAGAGAAAGAGAGAGAGAGAGAGAGAGAGAGAGAGAAAGAAAGATAGTAGGCAGTGATAAATGGCAAGCCAACTGCGTGGATTTCTTTGGGGAGCTGAGATGGTCTGCATTCATAATATAGATGCGGAGTTGAAGAAAGATAAGAGCAACATCTGACAGCTCAAAAATTCCATGAACTCAGGACAAGCAACGGGCCACTTGAGCAAGTTCATGACCTCAGATAACCTTTCAATTGTATCAGGACATCACATACGTTACAGATCACAGCGACAGTAAACACACGATGACCTGGTTGCTGGTTTGAATTCTGGTGCTACCTAAGGTTGAACAGGCTTAATTTGAACCACTGAACTTGGGGGAAAATTACCTGGGAATGTTGTTATCAAGAATTCCTGCCAAGTTTCCTACTTATTAAGAAAAACCAAAACCACAAACTCCGTCTCTGATCTAACTGTTGGAAATTGCAAGTTCCTGCAAGTTCCTCTGAGCTAACCTTTCCGTCTACTTGCTTGATCACAG